TATTGAGTTTAGTTGATTTTATTTACTCTTTGTTTACACACACAACCATTGAGCTTATTGTATTTACATTCATAGTATAATTTGGGGTTGTGGGTTTGTGACTAAGAGTGTGAGCTTTCATTGTGTTCTTATTCATTATAGAGAACAATTTATTTGCATTGTGCTTATCGTGAGATCACTTGTAATACACTTGTACACCGAGAGGAGTGTGTGGTGAGGACGTAGTCGATACCGAGAGGAGTGGCGTCGGTGGCCTAGTGAGAGGTGATAATTCCGAGCACTTGAGGGAGGTGATACGTGAGGACCAACACTTGATGTTGTAGCTTGTGTATGTACATTGTGAGGATTTGTGAGAGTTGTCGGTTGACTTGATAACCGAGTGTGTAGAGTTTTCGGTTAGCTAGAAAATCGAGTGTGTAGAGAAGTTCCGGCTTTCAAACCGGATTGTGTAGTGGATTCTCCTCGAGAGTGGGGAGCGGGGACGTAGGACGGAAGTGGGGAGCGGGGACGTAGGACGGAAGGTCCGAACCTCATGAACATATAGCGTGTTTGGTTTGCATTGGCGCACTTATAACTGTTCATCTTATAGCCTATTACATCTCGTTTACATTGTCCACTAGTTTGTTTCACCCTTGTGATAGTTTAAATATATCCTTGCATATACCATATAGTATATCTCTTTGCTAGGATATATCACCTTAGTTATATTGCTTATTCTTTTGCTCATATCACATTGTATATCTATCTTGCAAAAATAATTAATTAGTTAGTTTTAATTGGCATAAAATAGAATTAGATTAGCATAAACCCTATCCCCCCCCCCCCCCCCCTCTAGGGTTCCTTCATAGCGACCTTAGGGTCTAACACATGCATCACCAATCGGAAGGGTCATTTGCGTAATTATTGCTATGATCGAACACGTGCATAAAATGCGCCCAAATGGGGTCATAATCCAAGGCTTTGGATTTCATTGATAGGGGTCATGTCCCTAAACTCTTCAGTTCCAAGAATATTTGGGTACCAAAATGTGTTTGAATTTAAAAAAGTTATATTTTTTTTCCTTTTCATGATATTTCTTTTCATTGACTTTCATGTTTTCACATGTTTCACTTTTCATGGGTAGATCTAATTTTACCATGATGATTGTTTTTAAATACATATATTGCTCAAACATGATTTTTTTGGAAATACACTCTTTGTTTCATAATATTATTTTTTTATTTATAATAGGTTTATGTTTTGAGCAACCCCTGGATTATTGATCCCTTCTTTTAAAATCATGTTTACCGGGTGCTCATCTATCTTGCTTTATTGACGGAATTAATAAAAATTGATATTCATATCCTAAGCATACTTCTTTTTTATCCTTGTGGATAAAACGCATAATTGGTTTGACATTATTTTTTTGATCATGTAGATAGGAAAGATGTGTCCCTTATTTATATTGATACAAAATTTCTATTAGTGGACATCTTTACCTAATCTCTTTGTGAAGAAATCATTTTGCCACATAAAAGGAAAATTGAGCATGCTTGTAAATTTATCCATATGGTTGCTTGATCATGTGTTTACATTCTTCAGAAAAAATGTTTTATGGCTTCATTGATCAAGCATGGTTTAATATTAATCAATCATGATTCATTGTTGAATGTTTAGGAACTTATGATTTTCATATTGGCTTTCATGGATGATTATGATTTTTCCTCATTATCTTTTATTGGGGATATATATCAAGATTTTAATTTGGATTTTTATTTAGACTTTCATAATTTTCAAGATTGTCATGATTTGTTTTTATTTGAAAATATCTGTTCACGATTTATAATTTTTAACCTTCAAGAGTTTTATGATTTTTCTTCATTTGATTTCATGGTCTATGTATATATATAAATCTATGTATTATTTTTGTTTGATTTTAAATCTAAATATTAAGACACCACTTTCATAACAATATATCTACATGCGTCTCTTTGTATGTGAGTTGTGATATATGATATGTGATAGATATGTTTACTCATATATGGCTGCCTATATTATTTTTTTATATGCTATGAGGCTTGTTGTTAGGGGGGCATTCCCCATATTTGTTTATACTCACCCATACATATTTGTAGGGGGAGCTTTCTTTCTCTTTCTATTATTGTTTTCCCCATTTTGATGTTGAAAAAGGGGGAGAAACAAGTAAATTGTGAGTATCTGTTCTCTTTTGGTTGGTATCATACATGTTGATTATAAGTTATATATTCATTTGATATCATGCATATTTTATATACTCTTTGTGTAGATTGTTTGTCATCATCAATAAGGGGGAGATTGTTAGGTCTCATGTTTATGAGCCTACTATCTAATCTAGTTTTATAGACTCAACTGGGTTAAGTATTGAGTATCTTAGACCAAAACAGGTCTGGTTTAACTCTTTGTGTAGATTGTTTGTCATCATCAAAAAGGGGAAGATTGATAGGTCTCATGTTTATGAGCCTACTATCTAATCTAGTTTTATAGACCCAACTGGGTTAAGTATTGAGTATTTTAGACCAAAACAAGGCTAGTTTAATAGTGGATCTAAACCCGGTCGGGTTCGAGTTCAAACCAATAAACAAATAAATATATAGGTGAAAAAGAACGGCTCTAGGATTCGAATTCTAAACTTTTGTGTCGTTGTCAAATAAAACTAACCACTACAACCATCAATTTTTCATGTCAAGAGTGATGTAGGTAATAGTTAAATGTTGGTTTCTGTTAAATTCCTCAATAAATATTTTCTAATAAGTGAATGATATATTATTGTTAAATTAGCAACAAATGACTAGTATCAACACATTCGCCGACGGAATTACTATTCACCATCGGAATTATTGTTTACCATCGGAATTACTATTCACCATTCAGCTTCCATAAATATATGAAAAATAAACGTGACCCAAACAAAATTCAACAAAAATTCTTATAATAACATCGTTATATGAATTGAAGAGAGAATTCAACAAAAAGCAAGTAAAAAAATGCTTGTCGATTATGAAAAAAATACGACGATCAATAAAAGAGTTAAAGGAATGCTTGCCAATTTGCCTAGTAACGGCTTTGAATACCAATCCCAAAAACAATTCCCAAATCAAATGTCCTCCTCATTCTCTCATAAACTGTAACTGATGCCTTCTCTCTTTCTTCTTCTCTTTGTTTTTTTATTTTTTTCCCCTCTCTCTCTCTCTCTCTCTCTCTCTCTCTCTTCCCGTGAGAATCTTTTCCTTTCCCGTGAGCAAGGGGTTTTTAAGAGAGAGTTTAGTGGTTAAGCGTGATTAGTGGAAGGTAGGTTTAGTGGAAAGTTTAGGTTAAGTTGGGAAGATTAGTGAAAGAGGGGGCAATGTGTTAGGTAAAGGGATTAGTTAGTGGGTATTACATAAATAATAAGCTCATCCAAGGCAAATTTCTGTCTAGGATATCTACATTCTAGATGGATCATCCTAGACAGAATATTTCCACCTAGAATGCCTAAATCCTTCATCTAAGATATTCCATCTAGGATGCCTTATTCCAAATAATTAATCTTTGATATTCCAAATAATTAAGCTTTGATCTTTAATTTTATATCATGTATTTTTTATTCTAATACATAATCTACTGTTGTTAAACGATCACGAATTGGAACAAGTTGATACTGGTAACCGTCAATTTATTGAATAAACTCTAAACTTATCGACACCAAGAACTACATCTAATAAAAATATCAAAAAGAAGGTTTTTGCTAAATTTATTAGTAGTATATTTATTTTAAATATTAGATCATGTTTATGTTATTCTAAAATGATTTTACTATTATTATAGGAGGAGAAATCAATTAAATTGAATCAAGATGATATGACTGACAATTAATCTGAATTAAATCCTGACTTATCGACACTAATATCGTCAACTAATAGCAAAAGAAAAATGAAGGTTTTTGATATATCACCTATTGCTACACTAGACTCTTCTGCGTTTAAAAGCCCAAATACAATAGGTTGGATATTTAATGAAATATCTCTATTTGTGGTATAATACAAATAAAATTATTATGTTATGTTTACTTATTATATGTTTTATATCTTACAGACGTGAATACAAAACCCGCTCTTGCAACTTTGAAGGAAAGGATTAGGATGAACAAAAAAATAATTCAAAATGAAATGAGCATTTCTTAATATTTTACTCTATTACATGTTCTAAGTTGTCCATTGATAGAGAATATTTTTATTTTATTTGGGATGCATTAATTGCAAATAATATATTTTAACATAAAATAATTTTATATCTTTAATTAAATTCAAGTAGTGTTTAATATGTTTCGTGTTTTATTTGGATTATTCATTTCATATGAAAAAATAGGGTTAAGTAATGTTAACTTTTAAGTTGTTATAGTTATTATTTCAAATCTACCATGAAATTTTCACATAGTTTTTGCATACAACATGGTTTTAATGCTAGCAAAATTAGAATAATTTTTACACAACTAATTACATAAATTTGAACATTATCATGCATGTTTCAAGTTGAGATGTACTTTCATGCCTCAATTAGGCAGGTATCTCTATGCCTTGAAAAGGGGGATATGTAACTATATTTTTATAGTCTTTTGGTAAATGAGTGATTAAAACACAAATAATAATTTTAGTAAATTACAGTAAAACCGTGCTTAGAACGGGATAAAATAGTAGTAAATAAGAAAATGAAGTCCCCTTCCATAGGTTCAGAGAAGCTTCTCTATATTTCCCACCACACCCCAGATCCCCCTCTTCCCTTGTTAACTTTCATGCTTAAATGATACCCTTGCATAAGTATTCATAAGGATTTGGAGCCTCTCCACTATTGAAAAAGTCGCAGACGGACCACTATATAATCACAACCATTGACTATATAGTGGATGGTTATGATTGTTTTTAAGTATAAATTAGGAATGAGTACAATACACAGGCACTAGTAAAAAATAGCCCAGCCCCAACGGGTGGATAGAACCGTTCTGAACTCGCCGCTGCCGTCGGAGGTCGCCGCCGCCGTCGAGCCCTGCAGTATGCCGCCGCCGTCGACCCTGCAGTTTGCCGCCGAGACCCCCGCAAAAAACCCTAGTTCTTCCTCCCCAAATCGGACCTCGCCACCTCTCCAACTCGCAGGACGCCTTGACTACTTGCAATCTTCAGTTTTTCCCTTCCCTGTTTGTTTCTCCTTTTCTCTTCCACCGGTGAAAGAGGGGGGAGAGAGAATCCATGCGAAATCTGTGATCACTATCATAAGCAAGAAGAAACCTGCGGAGTTTGTGGTCATCGCGTGCCTGTTTCTATTTCAGCCGACAAAGAAAGTGCCTTTCCTTTTGAGATTCTCAAGGATTTTCTCTACTTGGGTAGTTACGACCATGCATCATGGATTCAAGTTCTCAAGACTTTTGGGATTTCTCATATTCTCAATGTGAGTATAAAAAAACTAGAATTTTGATCAGAAAGTTGTGATTTTGATTGGGTTTTCATTGACGTCGACGCAAAAGCACGTAGAAAAACCTAGCTTTTAATTTCATCTTATTATGACTTTGTAATCGAAATTAAGATTTTGGTATTGATATTGACGCTTGGATAATATACGATATTGACTTTAGAACGCCACTTTGTACATTTTTCTACACTGTCTTTCCATTGAATCTTTGATGCTATTAATGTCCATTGAATCCTTGCTTAATCTAAGTGATTAGCTGCACTTTTTATTGATTTTTTTTTGCAATATAGAATATTCACTCAAGAGAAGAAAATGAATAATAAGTCATAAAAACAAATTTGAAATTTCCGCACTTGAAATTCTATTATCACAATCATAAGAAATTTCAGAACTCCTTAGCATATCCAGACTCTCTGCTTCAAAATCATCAAATTTTTCCCTATTCTTTTCTTTCCACATCCCGATTTCTTCTAAAATAGTGGTATAGTGCAACAATTGAAATATATCAAACCATCGACAATTGTCAATCTCTTTATACAGGTGACTTAATTTTTGTTGGTTTTTTTTGTAATGTGCAGGTGGTACATGCTTCTAGAAATCTTTACAACAGTACTTTCATTTATCACCACCTTCAAGATGACGAAAGTTCATTTGATGATGAAATTCAATTTATAGGTATGCCCTTTTTCTCCCCAAGAAAAAAGTTTGTTCCTTTTCATTTTTAAGTAGATTGATAGAGGAAATTGTCTGAATAAAACATGTTCCACATTAGAATTTTATGCTTATGTTGTTTGCTATGATAGAATGATACAATTGAAATATAAAACATGTTTGCCATGATAGCAAAGAACTCTCAATTTTAGTGGATTAGTCTGTGGGGGTTCCAGCACTGTGGACGGGCAGGTAGAATCGATGCTACACTAGTATATTATACTTCCAGTGTTTGATTCATTGCGCAAAATTTAGTTTTAGTTTTGATCTGTATACATATAGTTTTTTCCACCGATTTTATTGGAGGATGCTTCATGAAGATGGTTTTGGTCTTGATGAGGTGCTTAATGAAACAGTCTGCAAATGAAACAGTCTATGCTTAATGAAACTACCGTCCTATGTGAATTATTTGTTACTGCTTATGTCACTCTAGTGTTTTAGGAAAGTAATTCTATACTCACTTTAAAGTAAGTAACTCCACAGTCCTACTATCAAAGTAAGTTTACTGACTCTGATAAGGTTAAGGCCACTCTCAGGAGATCTATGAAGATGAGGCTACAAATTCATAGCCAATTTTATTCCATATTAGCCAAATGCATAACTTCATCAATGGTGTTATGAAAATTTTCTTGCAATCTGCGGACTATAGCTGGCCTGAATTTAATCTATTCAACTTGTATCTAGTCAGTGAAAATTGCTTGGTACCATAATGTCAGTAATGTTGAAGCATCAAGTAGTCCATACACAGAGTTATATGATCAATAATGTAATTCATATAACTGCAGCTTTTTACACTGCATCTTAGCTTTGAATCTTCTTTTGATATTGTTTTTAATATTTTTGCAGGCTGGTAATCAAGGCCGTTTGCCTGTCTTGATCGTAAGTGCTCCACGGAGACAGCCAACTATTGTATTTTTGCATAGTTCTTACAATTGCAAGGAATGATTACATCCATTACTTGAGGTGAAATAGACTTAGTAGTTCTATCCGCTTCTCGTATTTCTCATAGTAACATAGGAAATTATTTGCAGAAGGATTGTTTCTTGCTCAAGGAGTTTCTTTATACAGGCATATGCTTCAAGGGGATATATTGCAGTGGCAATTGATTCTCGCTACCATGGAGAAAGAGCTAGCAACAGGACCACTTACCTAGATGTAAGCAAATGTTCCTTCTCTCTCACCCCTCAAAACAAGTCAGAAAGAATCCTAGTTCTAAGTTACACATGATATTCTCTGTTTACTGTTACTTTGGTTTGGCTTACTTATTCTTCTCATGAATAGGCTCTGGTCTCATCTTGGAGAAATGGTGACACAATGCCTTTCATATTTGACATGGTAATAGTTGCTTTAATGGTTTGATCCATCTTGAACTTTGAACTGGCTGGACATGTTTCAGCTTGGTCTTCAGGTGAAATAACTGGTGTAGTGGCAGGTTTGGGATTTGATATTTTCTCATGCATATTTTCTCATCTTATTGTGTAGATGTCCATGTACCTTAATGTAAGGCATTTGCCTTTCTTTCTTTATTCTGCATAGTTACGTTCTGTAATGGAAGGATATACTTTTGTACCTAGAAATTTCGCTAAGCAGCTCAGATGGCCAAAATGGAGAGAACATTTAATTAAGAAACAAGGACATGTGAGTATTGGCTAAAAATATAGGCTCTATTTATAGTCCAGCTAAAGTTTATACCCATTTTTACAAAATTCAATAGTGAAATCTTCAAGTTCCAAACATCTTGACAGTAAACAATGAAAATGTTCCTCAACATGGCCGCATGAAACAAAATAATTCATTAGCTGACCACGAAACTTGAGATAAAACTTCATTGTAACTGGTAGTCGGTGTTAGATTTTTGCTATATTCTTTTACTGCTTGAAATGTAACTGGTAAGGATATATTATGTGAAAATATATTCATGCCTTGTGCTTCAGTCCAAACAGGTACTGGCTCTGTGCTGCCACTCAAGAGAGTGAAGATATGGAATCTGGAGAGCAAGTCTATTGTTCAGGATCTGAAGCCAACTGATGCCCCTTAGCCAACTTCATCCAAAAAACAGGTATATTCATTCACCAACCTCATTTTCTTAGTTTATATAACTGCTTATTTATACCCTGCAATTCTTAAATAATCTCATTATGCCTGATATTCACCAAAAAACAGGTATATTCATCCAAAATATTTTATCTTTTGTTAAGTAGGTGCACGAATTGGAGCTATGGGTTGTCGTGTTGGAGCTGATAACTTCAAATAAAGCAGCCGATAGAGAAGGGGAAATACATTGTTCGTGAGTTGAGAATGGCAATGGATAGTGAAGATTCAAGCCAGTCTTTTGGAGAGAAGACATTCCTCTCAAACTCGTATGGAAGAAAACTCAACATGATGTTATAATCTGATACTCTTGGCAAGAATCACGAAGAATGGTTAGAATTAGATAATCGATAGATTTTTCAATTTCGATTTCTCTATGTTTCTGGTGTGTAATCTGTTGCATGATGATCATCTCCAGTATTTGTGCATAATATTTTTGGTTGATTTTCTTTTTTTTTTAATTTATTTAACTGCCCCAACGGTTGGAACCGTTGGGGCATGTATTAGCCCCAACGGTTGTAACCGTTGGGGCTAACATATGCACCAACGGTTCCAACCGTTGGGGCAAACAGTTTGCCCCAACGGGTGGAACCGTTGGGGCAAGTATTAGCCCCAACGGTTGTAACCGTTGGGGCTAACATATGCACCAACGGTTCCAACCGTTGGGGCAAGTTCGGCAACCGTTGGGGCTGACTTAGCCCCAACGCGACTTGCCGTAACGGTCGTTTTATTAGCCCCAACGGTTGTAACCGTTGGGGTCATGATTTGCCCCAACGGTTACAACCGTTGGGGCTGAGCCACTTTGTACTAGTGAAGGTAAGGTGAGTGTTAGATTTAGAATGTATTATAATCATGCACTAGATAATCAATGATTAGCACTAAAAGTAGTAGTCTCTCTATTAACATTTTATAGTAGAGAGGATCCAAATTGGTATTCGAAAGCCTCTTATATTTTCCTTTGTTGTAACTTACTTTTTCAACACGGATGCTAATGTCATTTTCTTGGATTAAGAATAAACACATGAATACATTTAAGCATAAATAGAGAGGAAATAATTCAAAACCAATAAAGCAAAAATATAATCAACATTATTTTTTTCTTTTATATAAAATTAAGTAAATGTGGATATAAAAGAATTTACATAAGTTGAACTAACAACTATTATAGTCTATGTGTATGCAATATGAGTAATGATAATCATATTATGCCTACAGTACTCCTACACTACAAGAGGGAAATGTGTTTACCCCCATTCTCTTTAAATTTTTTGAAAATTGACAAGTCATTAAGGGAACAACAATTTTGTCTTTTATTGCAAAATTAGTATAGGAGAGGGTGTTGTAGTTATTATTTTCCATCCAATATATATTTTAAATTATTTTTGGTATGAAATAATCTCCAAACATAATTAGATAAGAGCATTAATTCCAAAAAAGGTATGGCTTTTTTAAAGAGCATTATTGGATTTTCTAAAGAGAATTAATTAAACTAGGGACAAATAGTAATTTAATTAACCCTATAAAGTATTATGATTTTAATACAAGTTTCGGTGGACTGAAGTTTTGAAAGAAAATAATGTAATTGAAAGAAAATAATTTAAGGGAAATTTTTAGAATTACATGATTTTGGGGGAAATTTTTAAGATATCAATGATTTGAGCGTTATATATGGAAAGAAGCTAAAGGATAGTTGAAATTGAAACAGATTCCCGCCTCCCCCCAACTATAGAAAGTAATTAAAGCTGAAGCATGCAACGATTAGATCGTGTATCTTATCAAAATCATCCACTATATAGATTTCACATCTTATCATAGCCGATGGCCTAGAAGCAGATAGTTCTAACCATCGAATGGGGTAAAATTCCAACATCCACCATCTTTTTTGCATCGAATGGTCAGAACCGCTTGCTTGCATACTGCCGGTTCTAATAGGAAGCACACACAAATGGATAAGTTCTAGAAAAAGTCATCTCATGAATCTAAATAATCATAAAAACTTTGTTACCAATTAAGAATCAAGTATCATATAAAGGAGGGTACATGTAGAGATAAGTTGTGCTTCAATATTCATCCATGGCTTTAGCTTTGAGAAAAACACTCTCTTTGTTTTTAGTTCTAATAATATTACTTGATGTTTATCTTGGAGGAGCTGAGAGTAGATGGAGTATGAAGGATGAGGAAGATCCGGAGTTTGAGAAATATCTGAAGATGCTTAACAAGCCCCCTGTAAAGACATATCAGGTAACTTCTTTTTAACTTTAATTTAATATATTATTATTTTCTTCCCATAATCTAATCATTTCTTAGCTAGTGCTACTAGGACAAACATAATCTCATTGGCAATGGTTTGATCTCATCACTATTGTCAATGACAATGATATTCCCTTGTGAGCAACCACCTATTGCTACATACACCATTGTTGTCGATTAAACAATAGGGAGAGGAGAGAAAGAGAATAGATTAGATTTAGATGCATTCAAACACTCATTCACAACGTGACCAAAGTCCTTATTCCAATTTTTTTAGATTAGCTACATGAAGCATATTCTTATATTAAGCTCTAAATAGGTTATTTCTCTCTTAATTATACAGTTATGGTACCTTTCATAATTATTCTCAACTAAGTTCTTCTATGTTAATATCTAGTTCATTTTGCTCATTAATTATAATCTATTATTTTTTTAATAGGTTCGTTTAGCTGCCATTGTCATAGATGATTAAATCATCTAAATAGAATTTATTGTTTTATCTTCAATATGAGCAACATCTAATATTCTACGATTGTGGTTATTTTATCTTTTCACTAAGTGTATATCCAAAAGGAACATCATGACCTTAAGTCTTCTGTACATATAATTTTTGCATTGTTTCTTTGAATTACCCAAGGTTTTATTTCATAAATCATTACGTCAAATAAATATCTTATAGAATTCCCTTTCAATCTCATAGATACTCTAAAGTCAAATGATACTCAAGAAGCACTCTCTATTTTAAGTAGTACAATTTCATTTGATGAACTGCTATATTCTCATTCTCTAAATCATGGCATATGAGACGATTCTAAATAATAAATGTGATTACACCTGGGGGTGTTATTGGTCCATGATTGTTTGTAAGACTAGGGTAATTTTCCAATAATCCTATATTCTAGGATTTGAATTAAGATTATGATTTTTTGGTTAAAGGGCTAAAATTTTCGCTAGGATTTTTCAACTTTTGCCTAGATTATCAAAATAAATTTTGGATTCTCGAACTAAATAGTTATTATGTTTAATGTTAAAATATATTAAAAAGTAATTATATTTAATATTATGTATTTGCTTTATTTTTTTTATGTAGTGCTTATATATCTAGAGACTTTTTTTCCTTTCCTTTCTTTTGATTCTTATTTCTAGAAGATTATGAACCATTATCTGAAAATAGGATTTGAACTCCATAATTAAGATTATAATTTTTCAAGAGAAACATTTTTTCTTTCCTTTATTTTCTTTTTTAATTTTATATTTCAAGAACATTCTAAATCATGAAATTTTGATACACTCATATTTAAATTGCAATATCTCCATTTTTCCCTTTTTAATTTCAATCACTTACTATAATTATATTATGGCTAAATTAGAAAACTACTCAACAAAATTGTTTTAAGAATAGTTTTAATTGATAAATGATAGTTTAAGATATATTTCTATGTGGAGCAGCATAATAAAATTGTATAGATTAATCATCATCAAACTAATAAATGAATAACTGATTATATAACTAGATATTTTTGCACATGTATCGCACATGCCTATGTGCTAGTTATTTGAAAAGAGTAACATTGTAATTATACAACACATAATTTTTTTCTCTTTTCAATCTCTTTTTCTCTAGAATATTGTACATAATTTTACAATGAATTGTTTATTTCCCTTTTCTATTCCCTCTCTTTCTTGGACATTCTAAGCCACTAAATTGCCCTGAGAATAAATAAATTACCTAAAAATTTGAATATCCTTTTTACTTATTATGTTAGAAAAGATAAAAATAGAATAAATTTATAAACAAAATGTTAAGTTTTTAAGAATATATTTATATCATAATTTATTTACACTAATATACAAAGAAAATGATGAACACATGATAATCAGTGGATGATTTTAAGTCCAATAATGGAGGTGAAAGTTAATTTTCTCTTAGAAAATCATGTGGCCCTTGCTATCTCTACCTACTATTAAATGTACATTCTAAGTAAAATAAAATTTGTTTTCATTTTTTTAAAATAGAACCTTCAAAAACAATATGTTTTCATATCTATGCATTGCACATGTTGATTTCTAGTTTAATATTAATGTTTTTATTATTTATATTTTCTAAATATTATGTGTGTGTGTGTGTGTATATATATATATATATATATATATATATATATATATATATATATATATATATATATATATATATACACACACACACACACACACACATAATATTTACAATTAAATAAATGTGTTTACTTTTAAATATATTTCATTTTAAATATATTAAGATGGAAGGAGAAAATCCTAGGAGTGAGTTACATTCCTCCACTTTTAAAGCTTCAGAATTTTTTTAAGAAAATTTTTCTTTAGAATATATACAATAGGATTGCAAATTGAATTTTAAATCTTAGTCCTAATCATAATCCTAGAAAAACAATAACAATTAAAGTGAAATCTGAATTCTACTCCTAAACCAGTAACACCTTCAAGTGAAATCTATATCCTAGTCACAATCAAAAAACATTCTACTTTTATATCATAGAAAAAGGTTGTAGACCTAATCAACAATCATCAATTAATTTGTTTCTCTCTAAAATTCAGCATCTAAACTAACCTGTTATTAACCTTTTATTTAGTCATATTAAATTCTTTTTTAAAACTTTATTCCTTATTAGTTTATATTTTAGAGATTTTATGATTCAGCTAATTTCTCTTAGCTATAATTACTTTTGTTCACACCAACTCTCCATATCAGAAAATCTAACATTCGTGGATTTGGCAAAGAAATTATTTATCTACCTTCTTAAAATAAGAAGATATGTCATATATTCTCTATATATTTACTTTCGACATATTGTCCTCAAAATCAACTAAAATTCTTTTCTAAAAATAAACTAAAATTCTTTCCTTTAACTTTCATCATCTAAATCCTAGTCTCTTCTTTATACTAGCTTGTCTTTCTTTTCCACTTCTTTATATACCTAATACAATCAAGCTATATTATATTGTTAAGATCACTTTCAGTATAATTTGTAGCATGTGCATGTTAACTTATCTACCATTTTGATAAGGAAGACGTTTATTTGGTTATTGTTATTTCTGTTGGGGGCTGACACACCCACTCGCCACGGAAGTAAAATCACCTCGAGAGAAAACCCTGACTTCTGTTTTCAAAAAACACAAATCAATCTCGATGTTCCTAT